CATACAATAAGTCGCATGGAAGGTGAGAGAGGACATTCAGAACATAAAGTCACATGATTGACAGCATGAGAGCAAGCTTAGCAAGGAAATATCTTTAGTATTTCAGAGGTAAGTACCTGTTTGAAATTCATTTTAATTCTAAAAATGTATATATAAATGATTATACATTATAATTTTTTATCAATCTAGAAAGATGAATCACTCCCTTTGGAAGGTAATATTGTTATTACTACACGACATAATGGAATGCTTGAGATTCCTGTAATATGTAAGCCAGCAAGGTGTATTCCAGTATTTGACCCTCCAGAACTCAACATGGGTGAAGTGTATGTTGGGGAAAAAGTAGTTAAAAGCATTATTCTTAAAAACCAAGGTCTAAAAAGTGCTAAATTTATGTTTAAAAAATGCACAAGAATTGGTAAGTTTATGCAGCAAAATGTTTTTTATAATTTATGTTCAAAATAATAAAAAGGTTTTATTTATTTGATGCCGAGATTAGAATTTTAAGGTTTTTCAGTCAGGTGTGTCATATTCCATCAAATCTTTACTTTCTGTATTATATTTAGTGAATCTGCTATAATCTGTTATGGTTAGTTTATGTTTGATATTTGTCTAAATGTATAGATATGTATGTGTATCATCCCTAAAAATATTAAAAGATAGTAAAATATTTCTTTTTTGTTTGGTGTTGTAATGATAATTGTTTTTTTTATAAATAGAATAGAAGAAATCCAATGTTTAAAAATCACACCTGTTGTTGTTTTTTATGGAGGATAATGCAGTAATGAAGTAAAAGTTAATCTTTTGAGATGTTTTTTTTTTTGCTGTTCAGTGACAGAATAAACTGTTTTCTTGTAAAAGTAATTTTGTTTTGCCATGTTAGTCTCAGGGACTAAAACTTACCTTGTTCAATAATAAATGTTTGTATTATTAATTCTTTGTTATGGGTGGGGGGTGAAAGTGCACATGGCATGACCTTTTACAGTGTTCCCTTCAACAGGGTATTGTGTATTTTGATGTCAGAGTTATCAACTATTAATTTTACATACATTACTGATTTAGTAACAGAAAAGAGTGAATACCATATACTGTACACAGGGATACTGAAATAAAACTGTAGATATTAATTTTACATGTTCTATATGTTATGCAAATGTAATATGCAAACTGTATGATAGACAGAATTATTTGTATTCTTGATATGAACATCACCTTGCACTCCAACTTGTTACTGTCCGAGACAGACTAACTTTGTCAATTCACAGACATATCTTGAGTAGAAGTACTTCTGTAACACATCTGAGTTTTTGTGTACAACAAACTCGTACATTTGACTAAAAGACTGCAATATTTCATGTACATACACTCAGTAACTTTGGAATTATAGTCAACATTCCTTCTCTAATATGAGTTCAGTCCAATACATCAACCCAGTGTACATTAGTTAATAAAAATGTAGTGTATAGCTTTTTTATATTGAAGCTTTTATGTTTTAGCAACTTAATAACATTTTAGGCCAGCAACAAAGAAGCATAGCAGTGGAATAAATAACATAGTTATGCTGCAATCATTAATCTTACATCCACACATTAATGTAGAAAATGTAACAAATAGAGTGTGAAATTAAACAAGTTTTCTGTCTTAGGAACAGACTTTTCCTTAGCAAAACCAGCAAGTGACCAAAGAGAGAAGCATCTTGAGCTAACTAAAGAGAATGAGAAGAGCAATAATGATTGCAGTAATGAAATAAATATTCCAAGAAAAGAATCATCAACTCAACCCAGATCACCAGTTGATAAATGTGTTAATGAGGATTGCTTAGCTATGGATCAGAAACTTATCATTTCTGTTACTGAAGATGAAAAGGAAGACTGGATTATAGGAAAAGTAAGCATTGTGTTTTTCCGTTTTAATAAACATTGGCTAACTTTACAAAAAAGAAAGAAATAATTGATATTGTAATGAGTTGAAAATTGAAATATCTTGCTTAGTATTTATACTATACAAAGTGTTCATTTGTATTTAGCTGTAGAATTTGCACTGAAATGATAAGCATGATGGTATACACTGGTGACCTTTTGATCAATCTCAAAATATGAAGTTTAGGATCATAGGTCAAAAGTCAAAGACCCCATATACAAGTGATTTTAATGTGTAAAATCAGTATTATATTTTTATTAATACTTTTATAGTGATTTACGATGGTAAAGATAAGTGTAATGAAAGCATATGAATCTTATTTGAAAATCTACACCAAACTTGATTTTATAAATTGTGGTTAGTAATATTCAAAGTTAGATAATCAGACTCTTATATTTATTAACATAGTTTTATCATTTCTTTCTAGTTTGTGAGAGTAGTCTTTCAGGTGGAACAAAATTCATCACAGTAATTATCAAAAATCATAAGTTTTATTCAAGAAAGCTTAGATGTGGTGCAGGGTGTTTCAAAACTGTATTATAATGAATACTTAAACTGCTTTTTTTGTGTGCATAATATGATATTGTTATTTGAATAAGAAATGTCAGTAAGTGGAATATTGAGAGGTTCTGAAACAGACTTACCTCCTTACACACGAAAGCTATCTCAGTTGTTGACTGCCCTTTAAGCATTGCTAAAAGAATTTTAGTAATCAGTGCACCAATCTTTTTACCCACCAGTTTCATGCCGTTTCTGAACATGTCCATATCATGTGACTACTCTCCAGCAATAGTATTGCACCACCTATAATGTCACAATTAGTTCTCTCTTCTATTCCTGCTCAACCCCCACTCTCTCAATTGGCATGGCACAGCTTAGATATGTGTTTAATTTTACAATTTTTTAAGTTTTCTTTGCTTTCAATTGTTTCTACAATTTTGCATTCAACTAAATTCCCCTTTCCGAATTCTATGTTTTTAATATGAATTCAAGATTTGCTGTGGTGGCCAGTGATATTTCCATTATAGACAACAATTCACATGGCACGACTTCTCAACATGGGCTCGACTTTATCTCCTGAGGAGATTCCAACCTTAGCAGGGAGTTAAGAGTCTTACATTCAACCGATGATTTCTTCTCCTCATCCACCTTACCATGTTTCAGAGGAGGCCTACCATCATGAGGAAGAAATTGTTGACTCTATTTTTCTATCACAGTCTACACCCATTCAAGACATTTCACCCCAACTCCCTTCTTACAACTTGTCAATCAGGTATGTTATGTTTTAGGTGTTTTTCCTATAGCCTATGATTCCTCCCTTGACTTCTGATTATTCTATTTTCCTCCTTCACCCGACACTAGTGTTCTTTATCAGAGATTTTATGATCAACAACAGTTGGATACAGGCATGCCCTGTCCCTCTTGTTTGTTGGATCTATATGCATTGGCTTATCATCATGCCACGTATCCCCTTTTTGGATTCTCACCATTTAGATCCTCTCCTTCTTCTATGGGGCTCGATTCCTGGAGCTTCCATCCACTTCAATCAGTTGCACATTTTCAGGATTCACCTTTCCCTGGCCTCACTTTTATGCTAACTTTCCTCCCTCTAATTAATATCTGAGGCCTTTCGTCAATTTCCTGGTATCTTTTCAGAAGAGATGAGGACCCTCCTTTGGGCCACCATGGCTTGTTTATCGGCCTCTGCCCTTTCACTCAATACCTGGCTACTTTGCTGTTGGGACTTTTTTGGGAGGGATGCTTTATTGGAAGGGATTTGTCTCCCCCTTTCCCCTTATGAGAACTCCAACAGGCTCCTTTTCTATGTGATTTCATCTTTGTGGGTCATTCACATTCCCTAGAATCATGAATTGATGTAGCTAGGTTACATTCCTCCTCATCCTCCCTAGCCACACGTTTTTCTCATCCTCCCATTACCTCACTGGATTTGCCTTTCCTGTTTCCTTCTTCCTTGACCTTCCTCAGGGCATTCCCGTCCCTCTCTTTGTTTTACAAACATGCACAGTCAGGGTTATCAGTGAAATGGCAGAGGTTCCCTTTCCCATGGGGGCCACACTGCTCCACTTCTCAACTTTGTGGTGGCACTTCATGACAGATCCATGGGTTCTATGAGTTTTGTTAGCAGGTTTTTGCTTCGGTTCTGGCCCCCACCCCCTTGGAACTTTCCCCAATATCTTTTCCTTCTTTTTAGGATTCTTCCTCTCTCCGTGATCTTGCCAAGGCTGTCCAAGACCTCCTATGTGAAGGAGCTATTGAGTGGGTGCTTCCCACTCATCTGGGCTTTTATTCCTGTCTCTTTGTGATTCCCACAGAGACAGGTGATTGGAGATCAATTATAGATCTGTCCTGGCTGAATTCCTTTCTGAAGCCTCCCTCACTTTGCCATGGAGTCCTGTCTCTCACTTTGGTGGGTGTTTTCCCTGGAATTCTAGATGAATAAGTTTGATGTGGCTAATGCCTATCTTCACATTATCTTTGCTACAGAGTCATGTCATTTTCTTCAGTTTTTCTAGGAGGGTCAAGTGTTCCAGTTCAGGACAATGCTATTCAGTCTCTCTTCAGCTCCTTGAACAAAACAAATAGAACTAATGAATGAATTCATGCAGACAGAAACTTGTTGAATGAATGCATTCAGACACAAGGATAGAGCTGTGAAGTTATATATCAGATAGACAAAACTAGTGAATGAATACATTTAAACAAAATATATATCTGATAAATGTTTGCAATCAGAAACAGTCAGATAGTGTTAAATGGATGGACTAAGAAAGACAGAAGAAAAAAGTAAGTGTTGCAACATTGGGAAAAAGGGAAATATACACAATTTTTAAACTACTATAGAATCATTATACATTTACATGATTTATTATACTTTATATATTATGAAACTAAATCTTTACAAGTGTTATCTTAATATATTTTTGTGCTTTGAAAATGTTATACACTTAAAAGTAAAAATAAGAGTTTTTTTGCTTTTTGTTTTTACATATATATATAGGTAGCTTCTGGTGTTCTTGGAGCAGGCTCTTCAGTCATACTAAAGGTCATGTTCTGTCCATCTTTTATTGGTGAAAGCAGTATGGATTTCCAAGTTATTACACAGAATCATTTTGAAGCACTGGTAAAGTTTTTCTTTTCCAAGTAAAGTATATTAAATGGAGTTTCATGTGTATAGAAATGCAGAAAGCTGAGTATGTTATATTAAAATGATTTTTGAGCCCCACCATCTCATTACAGTCCATGTCGCTGCTTCTGGTTATGCTCTGTCTTATGTCCATGCATCTTAACAATAACCCTGCAGTATAATTTCCATTACAAAAGGCTCATTGTAAGGTTGTTATATTCAAAGCACACCTCTCCTCTAATGGCCTTTCCTTAATCCCAGTGTTCAAAGAGGTCAATTTCCCAGTAACTGTTTCAACAGTCAAGATGCTTAGAAATCCACAGGTGCTGCATCTGGTGATTTGACTGGTCTGTCTTCATATAAAAATACATAACTTCTGACTTCTGTCGCTTGATGTATGTGATGGTTAAATGATAAGTATTATTGGATGCCTTATCTTGGTGAACCCATACCATATTGGCCTCATTTCTAGATGAAGATCCTTCTTGATTGTGTTTCATTCTGTTTCCTGGTGCAAGTAACAGCTGACCATTGTGTTTGTGGATTCTATTTAATATAGCATACTCAACTTCTGTAGAACCATTTTAGGTTTATGTAACAGTTAGAGGTTTCAAGGCACAACTGAAGAATTATCAAATAGTTAAGTTTATCACATATATAATAAAGCTGATTCACATCAGTTTAAGATAATGTTTAAAAGTATATAAAGAATTTGTAAAAAGAAACTTACATGTGTTTCACTTAAATATTTCACAAATTTACAATGTTTAATTCTTCTGGAATTTTATTTTCATCCTTCTAGGCATTAAAAAGGATGCAATTTTTAATTATGCTCATATTATTATTAGAATTCTAGGAAGTATTTATAGTGCAGAGCCAAAATTATGATAAACTATTCCTTCTTTTACTTTTGAAGAAAAAATGCTTAAAACTTTATGCTTCATTTCATATTTCATAAGGTTTATTATTTTATACCTGCTTGCTTAATAATAACATTCTAAGAATTGCCACAAATTTGACTTTATTCATTGAATAAAATCTTATCTTAAGAAATATTAAAAGGTGTAAAAGGAAACATTTGTAGAGTATGAAAAAAAACTGTAGTTGTGCTGTTTGGTTGTACACATTCAATAAGATGTAAATTTCAGCAAGCATGGTATTATACTGAAAATCTAACTGAAAAGTTATGTGTTACAGCCCTATGTTCGTTGCATAATGTATTGGTATCTATGATTTTTTAAGCATCTTTGTTTTTCTGTTTTAGATATAAAGTTGTTCGAATTTAAGAATTTTTTTTCTGTGAAATAGAATTACATATTAGATGCATTAAATATCAATTTTTTTACCTTGAACATCTTCCTTAAATTTATAGTGTACCCTTCATGCAAAAGGTATTGGACTGGAAATTCCAGTAAAAGCCCAGCCTTCTACAGTGGATTTCAAAATATGTATTCCAGACCACACTTACCAGACTAATGTAACTGTGTTCAATAGGTAAGACAAAAAAAAAATCAGACATTTCTGGCAATATATTAATATGCACATGAAAAGTTAGTTCTAAGCATATTCTCTGGTATTCTCGTTATGCACACTTTTGCTTGTTTCTTGGAAAGCAAATTTGAGTATTACATGAACTTAATGCTTCTGGGTTTTTAAAGAAACTTTAGCTAAGTGTTAACAGTGTCTTTTAAGTGCATTGTTTCTACTTCTAGTGACAAGATAGTTAGACGTGTTAAGTGGAAAGTACCGTCTCTGCTGCAGAATTACTTACAAATTCAACCAGACCACTCTTTTGTACAGGCTCAAGGACAAAATGACTTCTTACTTCGATTTACACCCAGGTATATGAAATGTGTTTTTTTGTCTAATTACTTAAAAGGAAAAATTTGAATAAGAAAAAATAATATAATGAGAAATTAAATAAAGTATTTAAAAATGTAAATGATCATACTTTTTAGTATGTCATTACCTTACAGGTAAGAATAGTAACTAGAATAGCAAGGGAAACATTATATTATTTTCGTTCCTGTTAATGTTTTTGTGGTGTGTGCATTTGAAAGCTACAGAAATATTCTTCTATGGCAAGACATCAGATAAGGATTGATAATGAGGTTCAGTAAGTATAGTAAGCTATGGCTTGCAATGGAAAACTATTTTGATAAAACAAAACAAATGTTTTATTACACATATTGTTTAATTTCTGGTTGTCAAATAACACATAAATAAGAGAAATTCTTATTTATTGAAAACAAATTTCCATTGTTTACCATGTTTCTATGATTTACAACAAGAATATGACTGCTTCAGTTCACAAAATAGTGCATCAAAAGAAATGTATATTGATATGTCAGTCTTTGGTGACCTATTCTGGGCTAAAAATCCCCCTTTGTTTTCATTCTCACAGTGAAAATACAGTGAAAATACTTAACCAAATTGCATGAAACTTATTACAAACTTTCTAAATAATGTCTAGTTTCTGCATAAAATGCTTAGTATTTGTATAACTTTGTATGTTGTGAAATGCCAAAACTTTTGTTGTAAAATACCATTTCAAAAAATAATAAAAATATTTACTTTCGTCTTAATCTACTTTTTTATTGATCTAAAAGTTGCATTTTATATATCCAATTAGTTTTAATTTGTTTATATATATATTAATTCGTACACATGAACCGTAATTAAATTTATAAAGCACAATATCCAATAAGTAAAAATTTAAGTCCTTCAATGTAGGATCAGTAATGCTCAGTATAACAATATTACACACTACAGTATAAAAGATAAAACAAAAACTTCATTGAACAATGATTAATACAGTATGATATGGGATAAAAATAAATTGTTCAGCAGAGACAGCATAAAACATATGTTTTAATAATACTAAATGATTTACATAACTATGAACAAAACACAATATAAAGATAAGAAAATAAGCATGGATCAACAAAACTATTTACAGCATATAATACAACATAAAATATCCTGCAACATATATACTAATTTAGCATAAAAATCTAAAAAGTCCTTTTAGATCCATAATATACTTTACAAAAATAAATCCTTTTATGAAGATAATTAGTCAAAGGAAATATAAAATGACTGAAATACATATAATAAAAGTGCTTTAACAAGTACCATACTTCACAAAAAAACATTTGAAACCCTTTAATATTGATTTCACAAAATATATAGATATAACCCTTTAAACATAGGCTAAAATAAAGTTGACAGATAAGACCATTTAAGGTTAGAACATGCAATAATCATATTAAACAAAGTATATGATAAAATACCCTTGAATACCAATGAAACATAAAATGTTACACAGAAATTAACCCTCTAAGAAAGTTAAATGCATAATTAAAATATTTATATCACAGTATTTTTAATACAAAGTATAATTCAAAAGCAAACAATTATATATACCTTTTAATATGCATTTTACAACATTTGATAATAAAAAAATTAAAAATGCAAACAAAACCCTTTAAAATCCAATGAACATGTTACACCCGAAATGATCTTAAGCAGTTATTGATTACAAACATCTGTTCATTATAATGTAGTAAGAGTGAAAACCAATCACAATGAAATAAAATATGATGCTTATATATACTCAATCGACGTATGTTGTTATATATTCAACAACAGGCTTTCCAGGATGACTTTGGACTTTTATTAGGTTGTCTTATCCATAACCTTAGCTTTCAGCAAATCATGTTTGATTTTTGCAAGCTCTGCTTAGACTAGTTCAAACTCTAGTCACATTAGCCTCATCAGATTTACCTTGTCCTCTCCATTTATCTTTCTCTTGTTGACACAATGCTCAGGATTTCATCCATTTAGCTGATTGGGCCTAGCAATTGTCTTTGAAGGCAGTAGCCTTTTGGAGAGTACAGTATGTGTTGAAATTGAAATCAGCACAGTTGTCAGAAAATTTGGTGTCTGGGCTTTTTTTGTTTGTGATTGATTTGCTAAAGAGATGGATACTCTCAGGTCTTCAGCACATTCCTGTACAGACCACCATCCCAACAGTTACCATTTTGACCCTCATCAGTCTATGTTTTCTGTATGCTGATGTCTAATCTCAGGGATAAAACCTGATCATCAGCTCTTGAGGTCTCAAGCTATGGTTTCTCAAGACTGTGGACATGGCCTTCTGCATTGGCACTGAAAGCTGACATTCAGGAAAGAACTTCTAGACCTTGACACACTCTCTCTCAGAACATGGTCTACCTTAAAACAACAGGCTGCTCACAAATTAGTATATTGGTATTAGGTTCATAGAGAAGACATACGACTAAAGTTTATCTTATTCTCCTTATGTTTGGACATGGTATTATTCGCCAAAAGCCACTTGAAAAAGTGCTAGACAGAAAAGTAGTGTTCAGAAAGGTTTTGTAGTTCACCCAGTACAACCTAAAATTAGAGGGAACATTGCATATGGGTATTAACTGCAACAGCAAAAGGAACAGTAGAAATTGTTATGTAGAATTAAATCTGAATTTCATAATTTTACTAAAATGAAAGAAGAGACTGAACACAATGTAAAACAAAATGAAAAGTAAGCTTCACTTATTTCAACACACAAGTCAAATCTGATGAGCATAAAGTATTTTAAACAGCACATCTCTAAAATGGAAAGAGCCTTGAATCAAAAGAAGATGTAAGACTGAGAATGTTGACCACCACTATGTAGAGAAGATAATAGTGTCATCTTGCCCAGAATGAATGCACTATTCAATTACTCTTTTTAATCTCTTAAGTGTAAATAGGGAATACATATCATCAAGATATCTCTAAATCTTTATATATTTGATCTTTTCTGAAGAAACTACAAGATGTTACTTTACATACATCAACACTTTCCATGTAAATATTCTGTGGTACTTCACATTCCATAACTGGTCTTACTCTATTTTAAATCTATCCATATATTTCCATCTATCTAAACTACAAAGGAAAGGTAACCCCTGGTAAGCTATAATCACCACATAAGGATTTAGCTAGGCAATGATATACTTTATATTTATAATTGTTGCTTAGCAATATTTCTGATATTTAATATGTTTTTTAGATTGGTTTTTCGAAAATGCACACGAATTTTTTGCCTTTTGTTTTTGTACAAATGCTCATATTCTTTTATGTAAAACACTACTTTGTATGTAATTGAATGGAGTTGGTTAAACATTTGTTTAATAACACGTAAAATTCAATTATGTACCAGCTGTCCAGTGTCGGCTAACAATACGAAGAATTAAATTGTGTGCTACAAGTTCTTCAAATACCTATAGAATGATAGGTTTCTTTTTTGTGAGTGTAAAACACTTAAATACACCATTTCGACTACTTTGTATGCTTTCTAATAATGTTGTTTTGCTACATTTAGAACTGATATATGCATAATGTCTTACATGAAAACAGTGAAATTAGTATTTTTAAAAAATTATCTTGAAAAAATACACAACATATCAATGAGTTAGCTTATCATCTTCAAGTGTTTCCTTTCTAACCTTTTGGTATTTCCATTTTTCTATCTATTATATTTTATATTTCATAGAATCCTGTTTATAAATGAATTTGATATAGTAAACATGTAATGGACTTTTCCTCAACTTTTAAAGCACTAACATATGCTAAAGCTAAGTGTGCATGTACTGCTATTTTGCATTGTTTATTTTTCGAAAACTGAAAATGAAAAAAAATGTGATTTACATAAATGACATAAAAATAATCACCATATAAAGGTTATCTGCTAATCAATGTTTCTTATCTTTATCATAACACTAATTTTGAATATTTAATAGTTACATATTTAATATCTATCTTTTAAATACCTCCTTAGACCCATATAAAAAGGATTGCCATTTATACAGTCAACATAAGAAATAGTAAGCAATCTTCCAATAAAAGCAATTGAAATATATTAATTTTATATGTTAGTCTATTTACATTTTTGTCATCTGATTCTCATTGAAATTTAGCACATACTGTAATTTTTACATCAACTTTACATCTTTATTCTTAGGACCGAGTTACTGAAACAAGGAGAACAGTATCGTAATCAAAATATGAGGTTTCTTGATGAAAAGTTGCATGTTCTATGCACACTACTAGAACAAGTAAGTTATTGTTAGGTCTCTGTTTGTTTGTTAATTTCCTGTAGAAATTCTTTCCGAGAAACTTCAGTGATACAAGTTCTTTCTTAATTAAAACTAGTTTATTCTTTCTCAATACAACTTTGCAATACAGAGAATTTCAACAGTCAATACGTTTGCAATCTCGATAACAAAACACACACTTTATATTATCGCCACTACCGTTCGCTTGACTCAATTATGTCTCTATATCTCTATCCATCTGCAATTATTTGCCGGGCTTATATACTAAAATAGAGGGCGCCTAAAAAAAGACTAAAGTTGCCAAGAAAAGTCATGATCCTTTGAGAATCTCATGACGTGTTACTAGCGTCACGTGACTTCCTCTGTCATAACATTATCATAACAAAGACTTGACTAATAATAAGTAAAATATTATAAGTTTACTATGAGTTGCTTATAAATATACCTTGGGTAAATTACTATATGCAGATTATCATAAACAATTTGTCCCCCAATGGAACAGCAGTAAGTTTATGGACTTACAATGCTAAAATCCAGGGTTCAATACCCCGAGGTGGACATGACAGATAGCCAAATGTGGCTTTGCTCTAACATAACCACTCAACCAAACAAACATAAATAATTTATGTAAGATATTATAGACAAGTTAGTTCTTATAACAAGTAACATACCATACCAAAAATATTTTTGGTTGATTCCTATGGCTAATAAAATATCATAACTAAATTAATACACATAGTTTTTTATAACTAACAAAAAAATCATAAGTAAATTACTAGAAGTAGATTCTAGAACCAGTAAAATCAAAATTTAGAGTGGTAATTTTTGCACATAATTTTTTGGAAAATATTATGGAGAATTTTCTTTCCCCTTTTTTTTTAACTCTTCCACTTCCATGGGCACATGTGTGTTCCCTTCTAGAGCACTGGCATGTATGTGTCGAATTTTGTACCACTATGGAGAAAGGTTATTCACCTATAAACCTCCCAAATTGTACTAGTATCAAATTTCAGATAAGTAAAGAAAAATCAAAATGTGTTTTTTTTTTATTATTGTATCTGTAAAAATAAACTTGGTACTGGGAGAGTTATTCATCAATAAACGTGCCAGTAAAAAGAGCTAAAATTTCTTTTTCATATTAAATATTAAACATGTAAACACCTAGAGATATTGCTAACAATAAATCATGCTGATATTAGACACATTTTTAGTATTAGTAACTTCTTCATTGAGAAACTTTGCCTTACATAAAGTTACAAGGTGTAGGCATAATTATAATTCTAGATTTTGCATTTTTTTGTATCATATTCTTGTTTTTATATTGCTCTTTTTAGTATTTCTAAGCATTTCTAACAAAAACAAATAATCTGTACAATTAACATTCATATACTCTCTCTAGTATTACTTTGAGGTGCTATCATCATTGACTTAATTCTCACTGATCTCTTCTTCCTCATTTTAATTGTAAAGTATTACTCATTTTTAATCCATGCTGTTTCTTTTTCTTTAGTGCTATTTCCTATGTCATCATCTTGGAGCACAGCAATAAGTTTACTGATACAGTTCATTGTAAGGCAGTACTGTTTATGTATTTGTTGTGTTTTTGCTTTTTTTTATGTTACTGAATGCCTTCGAATGCATTTACAAACATTTGTTGTAAATGGAAATCTTAAAATTTCCAACTTGAAATAACTGCCAATCCTACAAAAGTTATTTTCACTATGTTAAAAAGATGCAGTTATGCTAGCAGAGTGCTACAGAATTTCTTTGTTCTATAATTTTTGTCCAACTATGTAGTCATGAAAATCATACAAAGCAACTACTGAATCCACATAACAGATAAGTTCAACTACCATTTTATCGTGTCCCTAACTTCTGTCTGCTCTTTTTTTCTCTCTTCTTCTAAGACTTGACCTCTCTATTTCTGATTCAACATGTGGGCTGCTAGTTGCACTGGATGAAAATAAAAGCTCTAACTGCTGAAAACTGTCATCATCAACTGTTGTTGGCCACCTAAGATAGCACTGGTTTGTTTAATTTGAGCTTTGTGGTTGCACATGAAATTGGTTGCAAAAGACCCAACATTCTACTTACTTGATGCTTTGAAAGTCCACATAGGTTTTACATACTTGTTGTTGGTAGTTCTTATATTTTGTCAAATGATACTTTAAATTTTTATCCAAATGGCATTGTTTGTACAAGTGTTATGATATACGTGCACTTGCCAATCACTTTGAAATAATACCATATCCTATTGGATAACTTAGGCAGTGAAACATTTCAAGAATCTTACAAGAAACTTCACTCAGAGTAAGTAAGTAATTTATTAATAGATTCACAAGCCAACTATGTTTTTGTATGCTAAAAGAAATGTCCATACCCTTCTTAATAATTCTCAATCAATCATATTTTTTTTTTCAGATATTCTAAGAATTACCTTCTTATAATGGGAGTGGACCCACTACCTATTTTCTATACCTTTCTTGAGTCTGCTTCATTTCTTTATCACTAATGACAATTCACAGTTAAAATTCTCACATCCTTGAATATAAAACTTCAAAAACACAAGGAATGATCTAGAAATGTCTGTCTAAAAGTGTAGAATATCTCCAAATTGCTACAACATTGCAATGGTTTCAATTACACATGCTCCCCAGTGGCACAGTGATATGTCTGTGGATTTACAATGATAGAAACTGGGTTTCGATACCCGTGGTGGGCAGATCACAGATAGCCCATTTGTGCTTAACTACAAACAAACAAACAAAAATTATGCACAGCACGCTAGGACTATAGTAAATTCTAGGAACCCTAAATCTGAGAACAAAGAAGTAAGTCTAAATTAAAATCTCAAAAAATATATACTGAATTAGAATTCTTTAAAGTAAGGACATACTAAAAGTAATTGCCTATTAAATAACTTTTAGGGCAATCACAAACACTTCACACGTAAGTTAAGAGCAACAAATGGAAAAATTTAATATGAAAGTGCAAAAAAACATATTTATGGTATCTTTCATCCAACAATAAATTATCTTTAACTGACTATACTCTAGTTCTTATTTTCCAATATGATACCTTACATCTTCTCACATAATAGCTTCCTCCATTTTGTGCTGCTATCTATATGCACGGATTTTGCTTGCCACTAGCCTTAATGCTCCCACCTAAACGCATATGTTTCCACATGGTATTGCTATATTTTATTGTGAAAATAAGCATGTGAAAACCCTATACCAATAGGAGTGTGACACACCCTTCTAGTGCAGCTGACTCCATCTGTATACTGATTGTGAATTCATCACTATTGATTTGGCACTTGCATGTGCAGATGTGTAAATTATTTGCTTGTGCCAGTGATTAATATTTCACTTTTTGACAACTTTTTTTTTTCCCCCTTAACTTAGTTTTTAGAAGGCTTTTGGTTTTTTCTTTCCTTTCCACATTATAAACTCACAAGTTCATGTTACTGTTACTTTGTCTGGTGAGGATCCATGTATTCTTGGTCCTGCTAGACAAATTGCTACTGTAGTGTCGGGTTCCTTTCTTTTTGTTGAGGAGATTTCAAGCATAGTATGTTGTGAGTTCAAGTAATATATGTAGCCCGGTCTATCTTCTGACCTAGGAACAGATATTCTTCCCTGGGGATCCCTTTCAAGAGGATGACGGATTTAACAGCCTGTTTCCTCCACTTGTTTTTGCTGCACCTTCGCAATCCACTGCCATTGAACTACATTGTCTCTCTTGAATATGGTATCTCAAGTTTCTTATCTTTTGTCAACTTCTCCTATGTCTTATGATTCCTCTCCTTCCTTGTTCCACCTCTCTCACCTTCTTGCTGGAGCCAGCATACCCCATTCTTTTTGTTTGGCAGACTCACATGCATTCCTTAACCTACCATTGGGCTGAGTTCCCTTTTCTTGACTCTCAGACTTTGGAGTCTCTTATTCAAGCATGGGGATCAGATCCTTTCCAATGTACTTGTCCAACATACACAAACTTTGTGAGGGACTCCACTAATCTCCTGAGGAGTTTTTGGAGGATACGCTTTCCCTCATTACCTCCATTGTCTTCTTCGTCCCTATCCCTTCAAATGTGGTTTTGGTGCTGTGGGGATCTTATTGGAAAGGATGCTGTCCTATCACAGGTTCATCTACCTTCCACTTATCTTTGTGACTTATAGATGGCTCCATTTCTCCATCAGTCTGTTTTTGGAGATCTTCCTGAATCTTTGGATTAAAGTGTGGGATCTGTGAGACCACATTCAACTGTTTAGTCTTTGGTTGCTTGTTTATCTCATTCTGAATCCATGGCCTCTCCCATGATTGTTTCTTGTCCTACAACTTTCCATCCTTTACCAGTTCCTACAACTAGGGGTTCAAAATTTTGTCACCTTGTATGGTATTTTCCTGTTTCTTTTCACCTTGTGGCAGATCATTTTTCAAGACCAAACCAGGTTTATCCCACCAAGTGTTCTCTCAATCTTCAGGTTTTCAGGTGGTGATGTAATCTGTGGGGTACTCCTCATATGGATGCTTTGCAACTTTTTTCAAACATCAAATTACCTCTTTTTTTTTTTTGGTCTCCAGTTCCTCATCCTCAGTCCCTGGCAGTGGATGTTCTCAGTCTAGACTGGACCAACTGCTACCTTTTGTGTTTCTTCTTATCATGCAGTTTTCCTGGATTGTAATGTTAATGTTGTTCTTCACTGCATTTCACTCTGTCTCTTTGAATCTTTGTCCTTAGGTTCCATGTTTTATCTATCCATTAAGACTTATTCCTACTCCTGTTAGTTTGTAGGCATCGTTGGTGTGATATATCTGCCATTGACATTTCAAATACTTTTTTCCATTCCACATATGTTTTACTTTATCCAAATCAATTTTTCCTACCCAAACGTTTGGCAGCTCATGAGAAACATTCTTCCTCTTCACTATTATTCCTGGTCTGATCCAGATAGACTTCTATGTCCAGTATATGCTCTTCATTGTTACATTGCTCCTTTTGTGGTTCCCATTCCCATCTTTTCATTCCCTGGCACCATTCATTTGTACGTGACCTTTCTCCTTCTACCCTTCTAAGTTGGATTCATCCACGGATTCGATTGGTCTATTCCTCCCTGTCTCATTCATCCCAAATTCTGTTCCAAGTGTTATCGCATCAGATCAGGCATCTGTATTTTTTTTGCTGATGTCTCACTTCCATCATCCATTGGAGGAAATTATTCAGTCAATTATGTGGACTACACCTCATATGTTCATCTTCCCTATCTTCATTGAGTAGCTGTTCCTTTCTCGTTGGGGTACTGCCTTCTGCCTGTCACCATCATTCAAGCTTTGTTGCAAATGTTTGTTTGTTTCAATTTCACGCAAAGCTACACAAGGGCTATCTGCGCTAGCTGTCCCTAATTTGATATGGATTCCCATATCCCTTTGGATTGTGCTCATATGCTTCATCTTCAATAGACTCAGCATGAGCAATGGAACCTTGCTCAAGGTCTCATTTCCTCCATCATTCACGTGGTGGCTTGACAAAGCCAACACCACAGCAGGTGTTCCTCTTCCTCCTTCTCATCTGGACCTCTATCTGTTTACAGATGTTTCCCTGATAGGGTGGAGTTGTAATTTGGATTCACAAGAGATTTTGAGTAAGTAATCTGAGGTCGAATCAACCATTCATATCATTCTCTTGGAATTTTTGGCTGTATATCAAGCTTTGGATCACTCTTTCCATAGTTCATGGGTGTCTCGCAATGATCCATACCAACAACTCTACTGTAATCTCTTGTATCAGTCATCAAGGAGGAACCTGGCCTCATTCTCTCTGTTTTCCCACACTAGACCTCATTTTCTTGGCCCATTCCTTACAAGTTTGTCTTATTGCTTGTCATATCTCAGGTGCTCTGAATCTCATCACCAATCATCTCTCATGATCTGACAAGATTCTTTGATGGAATGGCCCCTCGATCCTCAGGTATTCAAGTGGCTATGCTCTAGATACTTCTAGAAACTTTTTACACTCACCTCAATATCAAACTTCCCTATTTCCACATCTGGCAAGTTTGGTTGTGGATGCCTTCAACCAGGACTGGTTCAACCTTTTTATTTATGGCTACACTCCTATTCATTTTTTACCACATGTACTTTCCCTTATTCAGAACTCTGTGTCGAGTCCTCCTGATTGTTCTGTATTGGCTGCTTGACTCGGAATCTGTGGGTAACGGGTGTTCGAATCCCTGTCACACCAAACATGCTCGCCCTTTCAGCCTTGAGGGCATTACAATGTGATGGTCAATCCCACTAT